TTCTTCAAAGGTGTAGCGGATTGCTACCTTAGTAAAGCCTGACTGACTCGGAAATCTCTATGGCAAATTCTCCAACATCTAGCTAGACTCCCAGAACCAGCTAAGCTATAGCCCAGCTATGAAGGAAACAGACGTTTAGCACGAAGCACGTTTATTCAGTAGATAAACCACGCAAGAAGTGTATACAGGAAGGAAGCTCAGTCATACAAAATGGCGGATTAGATAAAACAAGTGAGGGTCATTGAGCTGCTATTGGCTGCGTGCTCTTGTCCTCAATCAGTACGCGAAGTTGTACGGCCGCACCTCAAGCCTATGTGAACACGCATGCGATGACGTGTCCCACAAAGGCTTTCTTAAAATATCTCTAGCACAACATTTTGAAGAAAGACTTCTATTCCCGATTTCATTTGAGAAAATTGACAAATGTTTCAGATTAGAAGGGCAAAAAACAGAAATGAATTCGTTAAAATTGTTGGACGATAATGATTCTTACTATTAACAGCTTCAAGATAGTTTTAGTCCTTTATTGATTTTTGATAACAATCAAAGTATATATATACGCTTATTGTTATGACTAAATCAAAGTGCTTTCGTGTTTTCAACGTATTATTCTTAAAACGTATTTTGTACTATTCTAAATATTTTAAATGAGAAGACCTTTTCGTTGCTTTATTCATCAATTCAAATTACATTGCTATTATTTGAATGTGGTTTTCAATTTTTCTTTGATTGAGCATATTTTTCCTTGGTGTATATGTATTTTCCAATCTTCTGCCTTTCAGGCGATGAGTTACTCTTGGCCTTCTTACGTCAGGCCAAGTACAACCACATGAAGGCACAAAATCGCTTGGACAATTTCTGCACTTTCAGAACTTCTCCAACAGAAGGTTCTCCGGCGTGGTTTGAAAATTTTAAAGACAGGAAAGCCATTTACGATAAATGGCTCGACACAAAGTAAATGACGAGGCCTATGCATTGAAATGCAATTCTCATTACGTTTATAAATTACAAAACATTGAAAAATTATTTTTAACACTAATTTTGTTACTTGTTAATGACGTTATGGGAATAATTTTTTAACTTTAAAGGATTTATTGGTTTTTTCCTCTAGGTGTTGGGCAATGCTTGGTTTTACGCAAGAGGGTTCAGTCACATTAATGGTCAAGTGCAGTAAGTTTCAGACGTTTTCTCTTCTTGCTGAAGAAATAATAAGAAAGGACAAACATTTAAATGGCATATTTATATCATCTAGAGAATCCTGACTTGAATGTGGTATCGATGGACGATCTTCAAAGTGCTGTTCAGATCTGGTACGATGAGGCCATTCTTGATCAACGAATACAAATCGGAGGTTTCAGTATGATAATGGATCTCTCTGATCTTCGTAAGGAGGATATAATAAAGATGTTTGACCCAAAGGCGAGTAGGCTTGCCACAAAGTATTTCCAAGTAAGATTTTCAAAAGTGATATTTATTATTTACAATGGTGCATATCTCAAAGCTTCAACTATACTACAAAAAGCGTAATATGAAATTCTAATAAGGTTTATAATGAACGTTTCAGTGAAGTCTCCATGTTCAAGAGGTTCTTAATTTAAACCCATAATCGGTGTTTCATTTCAGGTACTTTAGCGACATTCATATCAGAAATCTCTTATACATGTCTATCACACTGCCTTTATCTTTATATGCAGACCCGAGGTCGATTAATAGACGCATTTTAGGGAATGAAATTGAATTTAAATGCACTATGAACGGAACTCTGTAGATGCCATAAGTCCGCTCTGAATTTCTCAAACAACTTCGATTACTGGAGTAAATAGGTATTTTCGGTACGCCAAGTGGTATAAATGAAAATAGCCAAAGTAGAGATTTTTAGTATACTTATTGACAAAATATGATTCAAATATTTAAATGTCTCTTTTCGATAATAATAACGTTTCATATATGAACCTGAGTGTAATCATTCGCACCAGATGAATAAAACTTCACAGATGATTATTTACTAAATTACGCAACTCATCAAAACGCAGCAAGGTATTTTGGTGGCAGCATTTATTGATAAATCTTAGTTCAGTATTATGTCCTTTAGCTAATTTTATTAATATTGATTGCCAAACAGTAACTAATAGTTAAAAATGGATCGACGGAACTTTTGACACCGCAGCCATAGATATAAAAATGGCGGCGTTTTATTGTTTATCGAGGAACCAATAATATGGGGCATTAGAAATGGTCAGTATGTTGTGAATAACTAGCATAAAACTATCCGCATTCAACAGCATACATTAATGAAAACCCCGAATAATAAATGAAATTCCAAGGCACTTTGACGACTCACAAAAGTCCCCCAAACGTATCTTTCAAAGGCTTAAAATTGTGTCGAATTGCAAAGCCATGCTAATTAGACCCATTAATTGATAGCCATAAGTCGATCATACTCGAGTCACCATGGCACAACGAAGTTTTTTCCCTTGTCCGGAATCCGAGTATCCACATACCAGAACCATTTGTGTTTACAACGAATACGAATACCATTGCTATCAAGGTTGCATTGTGTATTTCATTATGGTATGTATTTAAAAAAGGAGTCTTTTTTCCAGAAGTCATATTAGCAGCTTTACTCTGTCCTGATCAAAAAGTACAAATCTCCGTTAACTGGATTCCCTGTTTGATCATCGGACCCTTTGATTTCTGCCCTTCATATTCAATATCTTGGAAAGAATTAGAGTAAGCCCCATCTCACAAACTTTCCAAGAAGTCGTCCTACAACTGAATCCATATGTCTATGAGTCGATTAACTTTCTTTCTTAAGTACTGATGAAATCCACAGATTAGTTCTGCTTTGCACCTCAGCAACAGTAACTTTATCTCTGTGGCCTTACACTCTTAGAGTTAAAATAATTGATTGGCATGTTAAGTAGTTGAAAGTTATTTTTTAATCGAGGTGAAATTTGGTAGCTCATATATAAAATTGCATCATCATTGTTTTTTTATCTTTCAAGGACTGTCTTCCATTCCGAATAAAGAAAATTATCTACTACAATGCACCAAAAATTTTCGAAGCCATGTTTAAAATATTTTCTGAATGGCTGAATGAAAAAATTAAATCACGAGTAAGTCTGTTCTCCTGTACCTAATGAGAATGTCAATGTGAATATCATTAAATCGGTTGGTTGTTTTAATAGATAATGATGGTGGGCACCGATATGAATCGAGCTTTCGATGCCCTTCCTGGCTTAAAGGACTTGATGCCAGAATCCTACGGTGGCAACGTCAAAATGACATTCGAGGAAATGTGTGGTATCTTCTTTTAAACAGTGTTTCGTATTTTAATGATACAATGTAATCCATACTCTACAATTGAGCACATTGTGAGAGATAACCGCCAAGCAGTATCTTGACACTAAGGAGGGGTAAAGGTATTCCAATCTGTAGCTGAAGAAGTATATCATCAGAATAGTTTGCCAGTGTATGGTTCAGCAAGTTCTTCGTTTGCGAGATATGCAATTATTAAAATTCTCAGTGCGAGACTCAAAGGGGCCCCGTAACTACATGAACAAATCTTTCATTTAAAAGGAATTAGATTCAAGTAACGAAAATTATGTAGGTGATTGCTTTCAAGATCTGAGAAGGTAGTAAAGGCGTGAGTTTTCATTTTATACAAACGGTTTCTACCCTGGTTTCACATGGTCTCTTCTGGGCAAAGAAAAGGTCAATTCTTCTAGCAAAACATGCACCCATTCTGAAAGTCTTTACAGTCTGTTGTTCCAGATAAGCTTATTTTAGTCTACTTGAGGCATATTTGCTCTGAGCATTCAATGCTGAGTGTAAGCATAAATATGCTTGGCAGGAAATCGACAATGTATCAGTTATCTTGAAGCCTATTTGTGAATATTTTCACTCTTCACCCGATCAAATACCACACTTTCTATACCCAGAGTATGTTATGATCTACTATAAGCAATACAATTTGGTCAAGGAAGGACAGTAGAAAACAAGGTTACTTAAAAGAAAATCTCATGATTACCTCCAATTTGGTCGATTGATGAGAATACTTCGAATGAGACTGGGTTATTATAACTGCTCTTTAG